AGTTTGAGAAGGTCAGGGCTCTGGCTCTGACTTTCATCACTTGGTCGCTTGTCCAGGTACATTGGTTCCTCAGTTTTCTGGGGTATCTCAACTCCTTGGCATATGTGGTCCCCCTAGGGAGGATTCACATCGGACCTCTCCAGATGTTCCTCCTGTCTGACTGGGTTCCGTCATCCAGGAGGCCTGGATCCCGCTTACCCAGTCGGTCAGGGAGTTCTCTTGCTGGTGGACCATTCAGGAGAACGTTTTCCACGGGGTACCTCTGACCAAGCCTATCCCCTCTATGATCCTGTTCATGGACGCGTTCATGACAGGAATGTGAGCTTACCTCGATGGGGGAGTGGTCTGGCGAATAACTCACGGAGCACATCAGTGTACTCGAGATGAGACTGTTCATTTGGCTCTGCAGTCCTTTAGGGGTATCCTGCAGTCCAAAGTGTGGCTACCGACAACAGTTGTCGAGTATCTGGAGAGACAGGGGCCACCAGGTCTCATGTCCTGTGTGCCCTCTCCATCCACATCCATCTTCTCTGCCAGGACATGCAGTTGACCATAGCGGTCAAGCATCTTTCTGGCAGGCTGAGTGTGTTGGTGGCCACTCTCCAGGCGCCACCAGCCGGTGTTGACGGAATGGCAGCTGTGTCCCTTGATTTTCAAGGGGAATTGTCAGGCGTGGGACAGACCTATTATAGACCTGTTTGCCACTTCCCTGAACAACCAGCTGCTAACCTTCGTCTCCCCGGTCCCAGACCGTAAGGCGTGGGCTGTGGACGCCCTTTCTCTGGAATAGGAAGGGACGTATGCATATGCATTCCCTCCCTTCAACCTGGTGGGCAGGGTTCTACAGAAGTTCTGGGAGCATCACTGCTCCTTACTTCTGAGAGCCCCTCTGTGGCCGAGGCAAGCTTGGTTTCAGGAGCTCTTGTCGTTTCTGGTGGAGGAGCCCTTGGCTCTCCCCACCAGACCGAATCTCCTTCGCCAGCCTTGGCCCAGAACGACACACTCTTGACCAGAGATCCTCCACCTTCACGCGCTGAGGCTATCTCTGGAAGCCACGCCAAGGCAGGCTTTTCTCAAGAGGTGTCAGATTGCATTGAGCAATCAATCAGGGCTTCCTCTTCTGCCGTCTACCAGTCACGTTGGATGATCTTCTGTGATTGGTGTGTCGGCAAGGAAGCTTATTCATTCGAAGCCTCTGCATTTGATTGCGGAATTCCTAATCTCTCTGTTTAGGTACCGCTATCTGCCACCTGGCACTATTGCTGGCTATCGTACAGCTATTGCCAGAGTTCTTGCTTGTTATGGCAGGAAGGAGATCGGTTAGTCCTCCTCTCTTTCTGCCCTAATCAGAGGCTTTGCTATGAATAGAGTTGTTTTTAGCGAAGAATCAGGTTCCGGGGTTCTCGCACGATCCCATCAGGATCCTGGCTGTGACTAGCTCGGAGGAGCGAGATAGGTTGCTTTGTCCTTGTCGGGCTCTTAGGTTTTATCTTGATAAAACCAGGGGGGGGCGGGGCTCTCGATCCCGTCTGTTTTGCCCATTAAACAGGGGCAACGAGATATCTCCTCACAGTCGGTTTCCAGGTGGGTTTGCCAGGTGATTTAGTATGCTTACGAGCATTTTGATGATCTGGCTCGGGCGAGAGTGAAAGCGCGGTCTCACGAGGTCAGGGCCCTTGCTTCATCCTGGGCCCTTCTCTCAATGAGTCCTCCTTTCAGGAGGTCATGTCTGCAGTATTCTGGCAGGGCAGGGATACCTTAACAGATTTTTATCTGTGATCCCTAGCTTCCCACTCAGAAGGCCTGTATTCATTGGGACCTTTGGTGGTGGCATAGTCAGTGGCTGGGCCTCCTCGTTAGCCCCGGGCCATGTCTTTCCGTACGGCGGCATGTGGGTACACCTGCTCTTTCACAGAGAGGTCCCTTCCTTCACTTTAGCACTCTGTTCTCCCTCCCTACTACTTTGGTTGTGCTGAAGGGGCTGCCTGGCTTCTAGTCACCACTACGGTAAGACGAATTCGCATACTAAAGTTATGGTAATTATTACTGAAATGAAATTGAGGTTTTTTAATGTAAAACCAATTTTCATGATGTAATACTTACCATAACTTTATGGAGTCCCACCCTATCCTCCCCTCTTCCTTATCTGCCTGGCTGCCCCTCTGTGGGGTTTACGCCATAAAGGTTATTAGAGGAAGGGAGATCACTCTGCGTTCCTGCCGTGATGGCTCATGGATCGTAGGGAGGGCGGGATTGTTTTTCTTTTGAATCTTTTGTTGTTGGGATACAAAGATGGGTGTAGGTACTGTATTTGCATACTAAAGTTATGGTAAGTATTACATCATGAAAATTGGTTTTACATTAAAAACCTCAAGTTTAATCAATGATCTTAATGTCATGATTTTCAATTTGGTAATTTCCTGTGATGTAGCCTGATGAAGTTTGCCAAAATGAATTACTTTGACCCATTTTCATGGTCAAAAGTGTCAATTTTTTTATAATATTCTGATGACTTCTTGGATGAACCCAAAGGCTTAGAGTCAGATATAAGTCTGTTAGGTTTCTGGGATGAAACCTGACACATTTTCTGAACTGATGATCTTGTTGATGCTCAGAATATATATAATCACAAATGTTGACCTGTGACACTGACCTTTCAACTCTAACAAATTAGCTTTAGAATGTTATAATAAAAATATTACAGTTTATAGAACAAAATTCAAAATGTGACATTGTAACTTTGACCTTCAGTCATCATTTATGATGTTCTTTTGGGAGTTTAATCCTTAGGATGAACTAGGATATTTTGAAGAGTCTTGTGAGGTTTCATTGTTAACTTTTACTTTCAGGATTGCCCAATCTGGGTATCCACATGTTTTCATGGTGCTATGAATATGAATTTGTTCATGCTTCTTGCCTTGTTCTTCTGTAACAATCATTTCACACCTGTTGAGCAAGGTTCATACAACACCCAGTTTCTGGTGTAAGGGTTGGTGCAATTGTTGGTTGAGGTATTTGTGCGTGTGAGTCTTTATCCTATAGACCAATACTTTGATAGTACTGTCACCAATCTGTACAAAAATGGTGTCAAGGAATGGCATAGTGGCATTGGTATCTTCCTCACAGCTACCAGGCACATTTCGAACATTTGGGTATGGTTGTTCTCGAGTTTTTCATGTTTTGTTGTCTTTGAGCATAGCCATGTCTTTGTTCTCTTATTTGTGAGTGTCAATGACGATTGTGGCTTTCCCTTTGTCTGCTGGTAAAATTATGATAGATTTGACCTTGTTCAGTAAGTGCCATGTGTTCTTCCTTTGATATATTGTTTGCTGGTAATTTTGTAGATTTTAAGACACCTGTCACTTGTAATCTTAGTTGATCTGCCTCAGTGTAACTGAAGATCTTACATACCATTTCTGTGGCTACAATAAATTCATCAACTGGAATTTTGTCTGAGAAGATGGGATAATTCAAACCCTTAGCATGTAATGTTTTGTCGCCGTGTGTGAGCTGTTACTTATAGATGTTAATTACCCACTTATTTAGCATGGTTTCATCATATGTCTATTACCAAGTGTTAACACATAGCCTTTGTTTTTTTTGTTGTTTTTTTTCTATAATCTGTCAGCCTTCTTGTCACACTGTTTTCAACCATAGCGTACATAGGATTATAGTGCAGCTGAAAAACTTGGTCAATTCTGTACCACCTCGTACACCATATCAGTGCTGATATGCTCCACACTGGTCATTTGCCTGATGAAGGTGACTGTGTAATCATGGAGATGTCGCACTCAAATCTTCTACTGATTGTGTTATAAGAACTTCTTTTCTTATGACACTACCAATTCGAAGAAAATGTTAAAAAAAAAAAGAAAAAAAAACAATGATTATATTTAAGTTCATATTTAATTATTATTTCTTTTAATATGAACTTTTTTTCAAAAGTATGTATGACAAAAGGCCACTGGATTGATTTGAGGATTTGATCTTTGATGAACAATTAGATTCTGTAAGAGAAGATAATAGTAACAGATATAACTCTACTTTCATGTTAACCATATTGCCATTCATTGTTTTAAGTGGAAAAAAGATGTAAAACCAATCACAATCAATACCTGATCAATGGTGTCTCTGGGACTGATATGGTGTCTGAATAAGGTCCAAACACTTCGTCTATAATATCAAAAATTATTAAAAAAAAACCGGGACATTAACTGACCATCTGTGCAAGTATGCAAATCAGAAGAACTGGACACTTCAGTAACTATATTCCTATGTGCATGTGGACGTGTTATCATGAATCCTGTTCCTCACTTATATACTCCCTTGATTTGAGTTGTCTATCTTAGAAGGCCCATTCATGATCAGTTTGAGCCTTCCACTAAGTTGTGTGTATTGTCTGTTTATAGTCTTGCACACCATTAGCTACTGCCTGCAAATTCAGGCCTCTATATACACTGCCACTATAGGTAATGGTTGGGAGGAGGCCAGTTATTTGGAAAGAAACTTTTAGGAGTGATGCTGGGTTTATCTGAATCTAGCACAAACCAGTCCCTATCAAAATGTCCCAATCACCAGTTTCTACTCTACTCCCTGATCCCAGTAATGCTGCTGGATTAGGTGTACATAAAACAATAGTACTGCCAGTGTAGTTCTCTCTGTAACTCCTCCCACCAGTCCGTATACAATTCTGAATCATAATATTCTCCACCTGCCTCTTATATATACCTCTTTCCTGCAATACGCAGAAGGTCACCCTTTATGCCAATCATTCATTTTTCCCTAAAGTTTCCTACCAGGTGTAAAGTTCCTCCCTTTTTATCCTCCCCCCAAAAGTGTATATGATGTCTTATCTCGTCAATCATTCTTCTTCCTCATATTTATGTAAGTAGCACTATAGCTTAGCTCCTCCTCCTTGTCAATCATACCCCTCCCTGTATTACATGGTACCCTCCATTGATGGAAGCATCAGCTTGTATACAGTGGACCCCATTACCCCTGACCCCCAAACTGGACTTAAGTGTGCAAGGCTGTGTGACAGTTCCCAAGGTCAGTCCAAGGTTGTGTGAACAGTGGACCCAAGGTCATATGTCAAGAGGTTGCCTGAGGTACCAATGCAGACAAGGCTTGTACCAAGGGATGGCAAGGTACATGTATGTAGCACTGTTGTATTATGAAGAAGTGACCACCTGTTTGAGTGGTCAGTACATGTGTGTTCTCAATACAGAACTCTGGTCTGGATCAGATATCTGCATATCTGCAATGTGCATAGATCTGGCATGTCTCCTTTATTCAAATGGTGCCTAACATTTACGTATACATGCATACACACGTATGGCAAATTGACTTAGCCAGCTTCTTGAAAATATTTTAAAGTTAGTAGGTTGAGGGAGCCTACTATGCACAGACTGTGTACAGGGCATACATACTGGTGTGCCTTGGTGTAAACATGTTGGCTTAGATTCCAGCTATATATACCATTTTATGTGTGTACCTGTGGTGCAGAGTTTATTTGTATTTTGTGTTGAAGATTGTAAAGTGATGATGCTGTGTAACCAATGACTGTATGAAGGTCTGGTCTACCCTCCATTACGTGTTCTAGTCAGAATATGTGATGGCCACCCTCCATTACATGTTCTGTATGTATTATAGCAACCCTCCATTACATGTTCTGTATGTATTATAGCCACCCCCATTACATGTTCTGTATGTATTATAGCCACCCTCCATTACATGTGCTGTATGTATTATAGCCACCCTCCATTACATGTTCTAGTCAGAATATGTGATGGCCACCCTCCATTACATGTTCTGTATGTATTATAGCCACTCTCCATTACATGTTCTGTATGTATTATAGCCACCCTCCATTACAAATTCTGTTCTGTATGTATTATAGCCACCCTCCATTACAAATTCTGTTCTGTATGTATTATAGCCACCCTCCATTACATGTTCTGTATGTATTATAGCCACCCTCCATTACATGTTCTGTATGTATTATAGCCACCCTCCATTACAAATTCTGCATGTATCATAGCCACCCTCCATTACATGTTCTGTATGTATTATAGCCACACTCCATTACATGTTCTGTATGTATTATAGCCACCCTCCATTACAAATTCTGTTCTGTATGTATTATAGCCACCCTCCATTACATGTTCTGTATGTATTATAGCCACCCTCCATTACATGTTCCGTATGTATTATAGCCACCCCCCATTACAAATTCTGTTCTGTATGTATTATAGCCACCCTCCATTACAAATTCTGTTCTGTATGTATTATAGCCACCCTCCATTACATGTTCTGTATGTATTATAGCCATACTTCATTACAAATTCTGTATGTATTATAGCCACCCTCCATTACATGTTCTGTATGTATTATAGCCACCCTCCATTACATGTTCTGTATGTATTATAGCCACCCTCCATTACATGTTCTGTATGTATTATAGCCACACTTCATTACAAATTCTGTATGTATTATAGCCACCCTCCATTACATGTTCTGTATGTATTATAGCCACCCTCCATTACGTGTTCTGTATGTATCATAGCCACCCTCCATTACATGTTCTGTATGTATTATAGCCACCCTCCATTACATGTTCTGTATGTATTATAGCCACCCTCCATTACAAATTCTGTTCTGTATGTATTATAGCCACCCTCCATTACATGTTCTGTATGTATTATAGCCACCCTCCATTACATGTTCTGTATGTATTATAGCCACCCCCCCATTACAAATTCTGTATGTATCATAGCCACCCTCCATTACATGTTCTGTATGTATTATAGCCACACTCCATTACATGTTCTGTTCTGTATGTATTATAGCCACCCTCCATTACATGTTCTGTATGTATTATAGCCACCCTCCATTACATGTTCTGTATGTATTATAGCCACCCTCCATTACCTGTTCTGTATGTATTATAGCCACCCTCCATTACAAATTCTGTTCTGTATGTATTATAGCCACCCTCCATTACATGTTCTGTATGTATTATAGCCACCCTCCATTACATGTTCTGTTCTGTATGTATTATAGCCACCCTCCATTACATGTTCTGTATGTATTATAGCCACCCTCCATTACATGTTCTGTATGAATTATAGTCACCCTCCATTACATGTTCTGTATGTATTATAGCCACCCTCCATTACATGTTCTGTATGTATTATAGCCACCCCCATTACATGTTCTGTATGTATTATAGCCACTCTCCATTACATATTCTGTTCTGTTCTGTATGTATTATAGCCGCCCTCCATTACATGTTCTGTATGTATTATAGTCACCCTCCATTACATGTTCTGTATGTATTATAGCCACACTTCATTACAAATTCTGTATGTATTATAGCCACCCTCCATTACATGTTCTGTATGTATTATAGCCACCCTCCATTACATGTTCTGTATGTATTATAGCCACACTTCATTACAAATTCTGTATGTATTATAGCCACCCTCCATTACATGTTCTGTATGTATTATAGCCACACTTCATTACAAATTCTGTATGTATTATAGCCACCCTCCATTACATGTTCTGTATGTATTATAGCCACCCTCCATTACATGTTCTGTATGTATTATAGCCACCCTCCATTACATGTTCTGTATGAATTATAGTCACCCTCCATTACATGTTCTGTATGTATTATAGCCACCCTCCATTACATGTTCTGTTCTGTTTGTATTATAGCCACCCTCCATTACATGTTCTGTATGTATTATAGCCACCCTCCATTACATGTTCTGTATGTATTATAGCCACCCCCATTACATGTTCTGTATGTATTATAGCCACTCTCCATTACATGTTCTGTTCTGTTCTGTATGTATTATAGCCGCCCTCCATTACATGTTCTGTATGTATTATAGCCGCCCTCCATTACATGTTCTGTATGTATTATAGCCACCCTCCATTACATGTTCTGTATGTATTATAGCCACCCTCCATTACATGTTCTGTATGTATTATAGCCACACTTCATTACAAATTCTGTATGTATTATAGCCACCCTCCATTACATGTTCTGTATGTATTATAGCCACACTTCATTACAAATTCTGTATGTATTATAGCCACCCTCCATTACATGTTCTGTATGTATTATAGCAACCCTCCATTACATGTTCTGTATGTATTATAGCCACCCTCCATTACATGTTCTGTTCTGTATGTATTATAGCCACCCTCCATTACATGTTCTGTATGTATTATAGCCACCCTCCATTACATGTTCTGTATGTATTATAGCCACCCTCCATTACATGTTCTGTATGTATTATAGCCACCCTCCATTACATGTTCTGTATGTTTTATAGCCACCCTCCATTACATGTTCTGTATGTATTATAGCCACCCTCCATTACATGTTCTGCATGTATTATAGCCACCCTCCATTACGTGTTCTGTATGTATTATAGCCACCCTCCATTACATGTTCTGTATGTATTATAGCCACCCTCCATTACGTGTTCTGTATGTATTATAGCCACCCTCCATTACATGTTCTGTATGTATTATAGCCACCCTCCATTACAAATTCTGTTCTGTATGTATTATAGCCACCCTCCATTACATGTTCTGTATGTATTATAGCCACCCTCCATTACGTGTTCTGTATATATTATAGCCACCCTCCATTACGTGTTCTGTATGTATTATAGCCACCCTCCATTACATGTTCTGTATGTATTATAGCCACCCTCCATTACAAATTCTGTTCTGTATGTATTATAGCCACCCTTCATTACATGTTCTGTATGTATTATAGCCACCCTCCATTGCAAATTCTGTTCTGTATGTATTATAGCCACCCTCCATTACATGTTCTGTATGTATTATAGCCACTCTCCATTACATGTTCTGTTCTGTATGTATTATAGCCACCCTCCATTACATGTTCTGTATGTATTATAGCCACCCTCCATTACATGTTCTGTATGTATTATAGCCACCCTCCATTACATGTTCTGTATGTATTATAGCCACCCTCCATTACATGTTCTGTATGTATTATAGCCGCCCTCCATTACATGTTCTGTATGTATTATAGCCACCCCCATTACATGTTCTGTATGTATTATAGCCACCCTCCACTACGTGTTCTGTATGTATTATAGCCACGCTCCATTACGTGTTCTGTATGTATTATAGCCACGCTCCATTACATGTTCTGTATGTATTATAGCCACCCTCCATTACTTGTTCTGTTCTGTATGTATTATAGCCACCCTCCATTACATGTTCTGTATGTATTATAGCCACCCTCCATTACATGTTCTGCATGTATTATAGCCACCCTCCATTTCGTGTTCTGTATGTATTATAGCCACCCTCCATTACATGTTCTGTATGTATTATAGCCACCCTCCATTACGTGTTCTGTATGTATTATAGCCACCCTCCATTACATGTTCTGTATGTATTATAGCCACCCTCCATTACAAATTCTGTTCTGTATGTATTATAGCCACCCTCCATTACATGTTCTGTATGTATTATAGCCACCCTCCATTACGTGTTCTGTATGTATTATAGCCACCCTCCATTACATGTTCTGTATGTATTATAGCCACCCTCCATTACAAATTCTGTTCTGTATGTATTATAGCCACCCTTCATTACATGTTCTGTATGTATTATAGCCACCCTCCATTACATGTTCTGTATGTATTATAGCCACCCCCATTACATGTTCTGTATGTATTATAGCCACCCTCCACTACGTGTTCTGTATGTATTATAGCCACGCTCCATTACGTGTTCTGTATGTATTATAGCCACGCTCCATTACATGTTCTGTATGTATTATAGCCACCCTCCATTACTTGTTCTGTTCTGTATGTATTATAGCCACCCTCCATTACATGTTCTGTATGTATTATAGCCACCCTCCATTACATGTTCTGCATGTATTATAGCCACCCTCCATTTCGTGTTCTGTATGTATTATAGCCACCCTCCATTACATGTTCTGTATGTATTATAGCCACCCTCCATTACGTGTTCTGTATGTATTATAGCCACCCTCCATTACATGTTCTGTATGTATTATAGCCACCCTCCATTACAAATTCTGTTCTGTATGTATTATAGCCACCCTCCATTACATGTTCTG